AGACTGACTACAACAATGTGAGGCTTTGAGCTGCATAAAAAAAACACAAAAATTGGACTATTTCGGTCACGGTTACGACTTAGTCCGCCGTATTCAGTTTTTTTTCATATGAAAGTAATCGACAAATGACTTATGAAATTATGAACCCAGATTGTTGTAAAATAAACCCAACTAATTGTTTATATTAGTAGGTCATTATATTACATTTAATCACCATCTTTTTTGTTCATACGCAGAGGAAGAAGGCATAACCAGGCAGGGCATAACCGCACGTCAAAAGACCTCTTGAGGTGTAGAGATTTTCAAGATACGTTAATTGTTGCACTTACGATCACCCTTATAAATGATTAATACCAGTGAAAGTCCCCCAAAACAGCCCCAGTATAAGTCCCAAGACAATTATTGTCCAAGTACCATAGTTGTCCCGCAAGTACCAGACTCAAGTCAACTGCACTGAAAAGTTGACCTGAGTTGACCAGGCCTAAGTACAATATTTACAGCCCTTCACAAAAATCGATGTCGCTACATCCTGGACGCACGGTGCCAGGGCTCTCATCGTAGGCACGAGCAATACTTTGTCTATCGATACATACTTAGCTCTTGAGTTGGTCATCCTGACTTAGTTTGCCCAGCAGATTGGCTTAACAGTGTAAAAAAGGTCAGGAATTGGACAATAAAACCAATTAATTTTCCTGAGTGATTGTGTTCCGTGAACTACATCGAACTACTACTATTCGGAAGGAAAATAGAAACTCCGGGACATAAAACATTTTCGATATATTGCAAAGCTCCAATAAATCTAAGACTCCAAATCACGCAAGTTCTTGCCAAATCCTTACCATGCAAGAATCCTTATTATCGCACGCACATTTCAGGAAACCTTAACTGCAATAAAACTTTAGATAGTCCGAAAATACGTAAAAAAGCTTAAATATGCATCTGTGCATCACCTCCTGAAATGATTTTTCTTTCAGTCAATAAACTACGAAGGGCGAATGACTTTTCGAGGACGACGTCCACACCACCAAAGCTTCACCGTATTCATCAATAACCAATTCATCATCACAAGCCAATTTATCACCACAAGAACATCACCAACATCAGTAAACCATGACCCTATCACAAACGCTTTAAACCCTCCATCCTTTACAGATGTCATAGCACCATAAACGTTTTACCATTTCTATCATTGAAGGATGTCATATCACCACAAACGTTTTACCATTTCCATCACTAAACAATGTCCTTTATACCATCGCAAGTCTGCGGCTCAGCTCAATGCGCCACGGACAACAAAACAAAGCCTGCGTCGGGTTACGCGTGCCTGCACCAAAGGACAATCAAACACGATACAAAAAGGAAATGAATAAAAATGAAACAGGAATTCCACTTGAACGAAAAAACAAAAAATCTTCATTAAGAAAAGTTCGGCTTCAACGTCGTGCGCAAACGAGTTCTAAACCAAACAGAGCTACTAACAACGCTACTAGATAAGAAGAGTAACTAAAACTAAATGGACGTGCTTCAAACAACGGTATTCCGATCATTAACTAAAGTTTAAAGGTTCAATTGAGATGAGACATTTCTCCATTCACACCTGTTCTTCGGATAAGATAGGATATAAAGAAATTAGATGACATATACCGCGACTCACGCCAATGCAATATTAATTTCAACTAACTTCATTATCTCTAGCGAGAACACTGAGACGTGCTAGTAATATTGGACAATCTAACTAAAACATATATGTTATCATGATGAGTGATGAATTATAGAAGATATAAAATTCGCGCTTATGTTCGTACTTTCATTTGAAGGTAAACAACTTTCTGAAGCCAATGTAGACATCTTCGATTGCATCTCCCTCTGCTCTCTAGTTGAAAAAGGTAACTAAGTAATTGGGTGAATCATCACCTCATCAAATGCAAGCTTCTCTGCATCACGTTTTAATGCGTAGGATTTGGCAATGCAAGCTCAAGGAAAAATACAGGAAATTTTCGCCATAAATAAACACGATTTATATTATCATAGGGTAACATGGGGCAACGGGACCACTGCGGGTCATGGGCCCATAGCGGGTTTCCCGCTAAGCATGCCAGATATTGGTCCGTGCGCTCTACAGCCGGTCGACAGTTTCACTGGGCTGTAGTGTGCGGTTCTCCGTTTTGCTAGGAATTTGCGTTGATAAGTTACTCTCAAAAACTGCTTTAGCCCAGATAAAAGTTTTTTGCTGCTAAATAAAACTGTTTTCGATTACTGTATAAGAAGCTTTTGAAATTACTGTTAATTATATTTTGAAAGTATTATTCAAAGGGATAATTTTGAGTTCAAGTTTAGACTATTAGCTTTTAAACTAAAATGTTGACACGATACAAATTGAAATGATACCTAGTGGGACAACGGGCCCACGCGTGTCACGTGGCAGAGCGCCTATGGTGGGCTCAATACCTCTCTGTGAAGTCTTCACAGAGGGGTTTTCTTCACAAATTACACCTCATATTGTATGCTTTTTTCATTTGCCGCCATTAGGCAGTAGGTTCTGGTTCCTAGTTATACGTATTTATGACCCCGTATCGAGTTATTGACTCATGCCTTGCCACAAGTTGATTTCAGTCAACACCAATGCGCCAAAAGTTGAAGAGTTTTCATAATGTTGGCTGAAATCACGATTAAGTACAAATTTCCTGCACATAATATCTATAATCTGGATTATGGATGAAACTTGAACTATGTTTTTTCTGATCAAGTAAATATAATTTTTCTAGTCAAGAATACATTTTTTCATGTCAAGGATGAATTTTTTATGGCAAGGATATATTTTTCAAGCCAAGAATATATTTTTGTCAAGTAATGGATATGAATTTTTAAGTTGTTAATAAATGAATGAATGCAATATTTTCTTATTAAATTTTTCTTATTTTTAAGTGTAAAGTTTTGTTTATCATTTAAAAAAAAATATGCGATTGTGGTAAAAGGACCAGGGGTGGGTTCCTTGCCCCATGCTCATGGGCCCATTGCCCAGATGTGGGCAATATAGGGAAACTGCAACTCATATGAGTTGCAGTTCCAGTCAGTTAAGCGCAAATCTTGAATTTCGAATGAATTTGCTGCTCTGAAGTTATTCAGAAATCATTGTCGTCAGCTTCCGTCCGTCTTGAGAGACGATGGGTAGCTATCGGTCCCACCTGCATCGCCGAGAGTGGCTGTACAGACCGATCCTGGAGTGACAATCCAATCCACAACCATCACAGGTGAAGGCAGATGGCTGTTGCAGTTACGTCGACCGTTGTTTCGCCGTCTGAACCTCATCTGAGAGTCGCCATCGCGGCGCTCGACCTCAGCGCAGGACACGGCCTGCCTACAGCAAGTCTCCAGCCCTGTCGTTCAGCTGTTTGGGTCTCCCACGAGGATGGATCGAGGCGGCTCCGTTTCAAATCCCTCATGCAGATGTCCTTGAGGCGTAGTTTTGGGCGTCCCGTTTTCCGTCGGCCAAAAGACCTCCCGTATCAGGTCTTTGGGTATGCGGCCCGCTACCACCCTCCTGACATGCCCCAGCTACTTGAGACGTCTCTCGCTGAGAACTGAGTGCCGACTTATCATATTTGATCGCTCTTGTACCACAGAACTGGGGACTCTGTCCTGCAACTAGATCTGCAGTATGCGCCGGAGACACCTCATGTGGAAGCCGTCGAGTTTCCTTTCGTGCCTCGCGTAAGTGGTCCATGTCTCGCAACCATACAGAAGAGTGCCTGGGACGCAAGCCTTGTAGACGCACAGCTTAGTCTTTACGGTGAGGCTCGAGTTGTTCCAAACACGCTGGGTTCTTTTGGCCAGGACTGTGACGGCCCTGGCCATTCTGCTGTTAATTTCGGAGTCGAGTGACAGTGAACTGGAGATACTGGACCAGAGATAGGTGAAGTTCTCGATGAACTTCAGGGTGTAACCATCCAGAATAATGCTCGGTGGGAGCCACAACGCTCTATGACAATACATTAGTCTTTACCAGGCTGATGGTCAGGCCAAACTCCTTGCAGGAATAAGGAAAGGGGGTGATAAGCTGCTGGAGTCCTCCCTCGGTATGCGATTCCAAGGCTGCTTCGTCGGCGAAGCGCATCCTCGCGGATTAGGACCCTGGTGACCTTGGTTTTTGCTCGAAGACGGGCTATATTGAAGAGCTTGCCATCGTGTCTAGTGTGTATGAAAACGCCCTCGTTACATTCCGCGAAGGCGTACCGAAGAAGCATAAAGGAGGATATACCAAAAAGCGTGGGCGCGAGCACGCAGCCCTGCTTCACTCCGCTGCTGACTGGAAAGGCTTCTGAGGTCACACCGTTGAAGCAAACCATGCCGTGCATGTTTTCGTGGAAGGACTTGACCATGGCGAGTAAGCGCGGTGGTCAGCCGATCTTCTGAAACAAGCGGAAAAGTCTGTCACGACTAACCAGGTCGAAAGCTTTCGTTAGGTCAGTAAAGGCGACGTGGAGAGGCATCTGCTGCGCACGGCACTTCTCCTGAGGCTGACGCAGGGAGAAAATCATGTCCATCGCCGATCAACTGGCCCTGAATCCACGTTGGTATTCTGGATAGACGCTAGCAGCGAGGAGGTGCAAGCGCGAGAGAGCGACCCGGACGAACACCTTGCCAACAAAGCTGAGGAGAGAGATTTCCCGGTAGTTGTTACAGTCACTTCTGTCTCTCTTATTCTTGTACAGAGTGACGATCTCCTCATCTCGCGTGTCCTGAGGGATGTAACCCTGCTCCCAACAGAGGCGAAGAAGATCGCGGAGTGGTTGGAGCAGAACTGGTTTGCCGCTTTTCATGATTTCCGGAGGAATTCTGTCGCTCCCAGGTGCTTTGCCGCAGGCGAGGCAGTCCAAGGCTTTATTGAGCTCTTTCACTGCAGGAAAGGTATAGCAAGCTTTCATTGCGTTGACACGGCAATTTTTAAGATTATCTGAATCAGTATCGAATCTCGTAACACAAGAGTTAGAATAGCAAAAATGGCTAGCCCAACTGTAGATGCCGCTGGTATTGCAAAAACGTCCTCCAGTCACTTGAGCACTATTAGCTTGCCACCATTTACCCCATCATCAGCAGCTCAATGGATAAAGCTGTGTAGTTACGCGTTCAACGCGTACTCCATAACTGATGTAGACCAGGGGCCATACTTTCAAAACTCGCTAAGTGAACGTAAGTACTTACGCTCTATTTTATTGTCTATGATTGGTGGAATTTGCTTGAAAGGCCGTCCATGATTGGCTGATGAACTTACGATCTCTTAACTTTTTTGAAAGTATGGGCTCAGAAATGTTATTTACTAATTTCAGCGCTCCCCCCTAACTCACAAGCAGAGCTGGGCAGCGCTACTTTGAAATGTAGCGGCCGCTACCGCTACATGCTCTAAATGTAGCAGGCGCTACCGCTACCGCTACACCCACTAGATTGTAGCGCGCGCTACCGCTACCGCTACAGTAAAATGTAGCGCCTCTACATTAGCCGCTACAATGGCCAAAATTATTTGAAATCTCTAAATATTTATTGTTCTGCTATTGGGATTTACTCATAAACATTTAGTGATAAAACATTTTCAAAACATATCACTGCACCTTTATTGCAATTAATCTAACCGAAATAGTACGGGTTCGATACAGTAAATAAAAGATATTTTTATGTTTTACCTTCCCTTCATGGATGTCTACTTTAATCTACCAATCTCAAAAATTATCCACATATACATATAAAAAATTAATCTTTTATTTGTATACATATATGGATAATTTTCGAAATTGGTAGATTAAAGTAGACATCCATGTAGGGAAGATGAAACATAAAAATAACTCTGTAAAAATAACTGTAAGCAAACTGAAGTTAGGTGGCTGATGTCCGTGATGTGGTCGTGGACATGTGGTGGCAGCTGGCACGGAACAAGAAGAAGTGGTAACTGGGAACAACTTAACAAGTAACAACTAACATGTTGACACTAGTAACAGGCTGAGGTTGACAACATTATACCGAAATTTTTCGTACAGTTTTATTCTGTAATTTATATTATGTATGTATCATGCTGGTTTTTAAATAATATTTAATACTATTAAGTAAAATCTAGAGGCTTTATCTATAAATGTAGCGGTAGCGCTGTAGCGGTAAAACCTCGTATCGCTACTTAAATATGTAGCGGGCGCTACCGCTACCGCTACAATTGCTTAAATGTAACGCCGCTACCGCTACCGCTTCTGAAAATGCAGCGGCCGCTTACATGTAGCGCGCTACTGCCCACCTCTGCCTACAAGCCGACCTACCTAACTTGATGGTAGATGAGCCTAACGTAGAAGGTAAATTTGAGATATTGCGAGACAATTTGATTAAATTAACGAATGTGCCGGAGAGCACGCGGATCAAGTCACTATTAAACCACACTCCGATGGCCGATAGAACTCCCTCCGAATATCTGCGTCATCTCCGCAATGTTGCAGGCACGTCGCAAGACAAAGATTCTCCCTTGCCTAGGTCAATATTCCTAGAGCGTTTACCAATATTCACCAGCTTGCTATTCAATTTGGCATAAATTGAATAGCAAGCTTTCAGGGCGTCAGCGCTGTCTTACGCATCCTAGCGTTGCTAAGCAGGGCAGAGGCGAGGCTATTCTAGATTATACAGGGTGTCCCAAAAAACGGTACTCAACTTTGAATGACTGTAACTCAAAAAGTAATAGAGTTATAAAAATTTGGAAGGTCAGGATTTGTTCCCTATGTTTTTTTGCATCTCTCCGCCAAAAAATCAGACAGATCGATGTAGCCATAAGCGTTTGATAGAACTTTCAGTGGCATGCGCTAAAATCATGCTTGCGCAAAGTTTTAGTAAGATCATTTTGCATAATCATTACGTTGTCTTGACATGTTTTCTTTTCGCTGTTTTTTTTTAATCTTTGGTGAGACAAAAAAGCAATCTTTGGTGAGAGGCAATCATGACAATCTTTGCTGAGAGACAATCATGGCAATCTTTGGTGAGACACAATGTACCGTTAGAAACCACTCTGACAATCATGGCAATCTTTGGTGAGAGACAATCATGGCAATCTTTGGTGAGAGACAATCATGGCAATCTTTGGTGAGAGACAATCATGGCAATCATTGGTGAGACACAATCATGGCAATCTTTGGTGAGAGACAATCATGGCAATCTTTGGTGAGAGACAATCATGGCAATCTTTGGTGAGAGACAATCATGACAATCATTGGTGAGACGGAATTTCAAAACCAGAGATTGCCTCTCACCAAAGGTTGTCATGATTGTGTCTCAACAAAGATTGCCATGATTGTGTCTCACCAAAGATTGTCATGATTGCCTCTCACCAAAGATTGTCATGATTGTGTCTCACCAAAGATTGCCATGATTGTGTCTCACCAAAGATTGTCATGATTGCCTCTCACCAAAGATTGTCATGATTGTGTCTCACCAAAGATTGTCATGCTTGTGTCTCACCAAAGATTGTTATGATTGCCTCTCACCAAAGATTGTCATGATTGTCTCACCAAAGATTGCCATGATTGGGTCTCACCAAAGATTGTCATGATTGTGTCTCACCAAAGATTGCCATGATTGCCTCTCACCAAAGATTGCCATGATTGTCTCTCACCAAAGATTGTCATGATTGCTTCTCACCAAAGAATGCCATGGTTGCTTCTCACCAAAGATTGCCATGATTGTGTCTCACCAAAGATTGTCATGATTGTCTCTCACCAAAGATTGTCATAATTGCCTCTCACCAAAGATTGCCATGTTTTTGTCTCACCAAAGATAAAAAAACAGCGAAAAGAAAACATGTCAAGACAACGTAATGATTATGCAAAATGATCTTACTAAAACTTTGCGCAAGCACGATTTTAGCGCATGTCACTGAAAGTTCTATCAAACGCTTATGGCTACATCGATCTGTCTGATTTTTGGCGGAGAGATGGAGAAAAACATAGGGAACAAATCTTGACCTTTCAAAATTTTTTAACTCTATTACTTTTCGAGTTACAGCCATTCAAAGTTGAGTATCGTTTTTTTGGGACACCATGTATACACAGCACCATTATAGCAGGCTCCTGCGTATCTACATTACTCCGAGAAAATCCATTTATTTACGGCGAATTATCAACTTGAAACAAAACTACTGAGTGGTGTGTTCACCTACTGATCATTATGAATTATTGTATCGCATACTAAATTATTCCTATCATTTGCAGTCACGAAATTACAACACAGTTGAATATCATGACATATATGCAAAGTAATTATTTACCGAACAAAATTAAAAAAAAAAACATTGTTTTCACCAGTAATTGAAGAATATTTCACATATATTTATTAAAATTTGTATCCCTAAAATGACACCATGAAAATGTGTTGCGAAGATGGCCACTAGTGTTGCACTAAATAAATAGAATTTATAGGTCATTGAATTATCATAGATAGAAATAACAACTCATGCAATTTTCAGTAATCTGAAATAGATTACTGGAGTGTGGACCATGTAATTAGTCTCCGTCTCTTTTTAGAGTTTTTTATATGAGTGAATAGTTTAGTTTATGCTGAAATATGATTCGATATACAAATTTTGACTGGAAAACTCAGCAGCATGTATACATTTTTAATCCAACATAACGAATATAGGATAATAAAAATTATCGTTCAAAAAATAACACGTTATTCGGAAGTTACATTGCTGGTTTGGTACTTGCAATTTAGTCGGGGCATTATCTGGGTCGAAAATCACCATAGAAAACACAGATCTGGCAGCAAGTAAATGCGGCAACTTTCGAACCTAGCAACAAGTGAAGGCGGCATTGCGTTCGAAGGTATTAATTTCTTACAAAATTATCTCTTAGGTTGTCTATTAAAATTACCGCATTGCCGCCTGGTGACAAAAGATTTTAAGGTAGGTGCGAGGCTGTGCCCTGTAACTATGTATACTGGAATAGTGAATCAGAATTTTTTGTTCATTTAAGTTATAACTAAATTTATAATTAAAACTATCTTTAATTATAAATTTACATATCCTAATTTATCTTATATGCCTTTAGTTACAATGATTCGCCCTCTGCTGATCACATCGCTTTCGCAAAGATGAAGTTATAAAGAATTTTGTCTCTACAGAATAACGGGGACTCTGGCACAGTCTGGTACACTATATACAGTTATATAGGCTGGCTTAATTTCGTCTAGAATTGTAGGGCAGAAATTGATGTGAGAACAAATATTCATGCAAGACCGCGCGTCATGAGGCATTGGCCGTTGCTGCCGCGCACATCGCACCTGCGCGATCGCTGAACTGCAGCTTGTCGGCTGCGGCCTGGTCACTTGCTCGCGGAATAATAATGGAATTATTCTATACGTTTTATTTGAAATTTTGACAGAGAAAAATTCTTTACTTCGAAACGAAAATGCTTGAGTATTGAAACTTTCTTCATGACTGAAAGCTAATATCCGATGATGGCGACTCGTAAATCAAATCTATTACTTGGAAGCTTAGCCGTTGCACCTTGTCGAAAATTTATCAACAATGAGCTCATATCGACTACTAGTCTCCTTGTAACTCTTTATGCGGATAAGCTGAATGGGTTCAACCACTTCCAACCATATAACTTCAACCTTGCTACGTAATTACGATTGCATTAACTTCCTACTCATTACTACTGAACAATCTCGTGAGATGACTAGTCCTAGCAGATAATTGTAGCCCAATCTGATTTATTTTATTCTCACCTCGACAGATTAATTACGTACCATGACATAGAATGAACGATTAGCAGGTCATTTGTACACGTACTAAGCAACTACACACTTTGAAATGGTAATAAAAAGTTATCAGTAAAAAGCCAACTCCAACATATAAGGTCTTCGAACCGCACGAATGCATTGTGGTTTGAGTGTATTGATTAATCTGTAGAAAGCTGAAAGCGAAGGAAAATAACTTCCAAATAAAATATTCCTTACCTACAATAAGTCCAGTCGCTGTTGAATTATCATGTTTTCGCAGCCTG